CGGGGTGTGTACACGAAGTAAAAATCACTGTCACGTCTACGAAGTTAACAATTGTCAGCAGGGATGGGGGCTCCTTGGGATCACCACCTAGCGTGGGTGTTCGCTACGGAACATAGATCGCACGTATTAGCGTCTTCTGACAGCACAACATTACATACGCTAGCCATATAGCCCCTGCATCGGCTGTTGCCAGCATCTGTTGGCGTAGGCCCTTAGAGAAGTTGGCTAATGTCCGGCAGACAACCGGAAAGGTTTATTTGGGATCGACGTATTAGGTATGCGAAAATAGAACTCGAAATCGATCTAGTTTCACTTTTACTCAGTCAGACCAATGCGTGTTTACGCACGCTCTTTTCCACACCCCTTGTTGTTCAGTCAATGCATCCTGAACCAGAGGAGCTGGTGAAAGAGTACATACAAATCGTTGTGGTCTTCATTGGGGTCGGTAGTTACCCCAAAGTGTAGGAAGGAAGAGTAGGCTTAGGTTCGCCCTAGGAAACGCGCTTGTGTTTGCTGCCTTCAGACGTCGTTTTATCAGTGCGCTTTTTGCGTCGCCGTAGAATGGAAGTCTTATGAACTAGTCAAGAGTACTAAACTAATTTGTACCACAGAATAGGTTTGGTTGCCCAAAAGGGCCAGCATATGAAGAGCCTGGATATAGTTTTTTCTGAGTCTCTTAACAAAATAATCATAATTAATTACTTAACAACATAAGGTCAGATGCCTAACGAAGTTCTAATGTGGCAGCCCACATTATTTACATAAATGCGAACCACCTGATCTCCAGCCAAATATCTGGCGTGATAATTTTTAACAACCGGAAATTTAACCTAGTCTTATTGACTGGACGTTTGAACCCCGACAGCCGTTACAGCTCGAAGTAGGCAGATAGTATTGCCGGCAAAGACAAAGGAGACTGAAATCCCACCCCAGCCTCAAACTCGCAACCTTCTTGAGCAGAGTTACGCGAACGGCAATGAATGGAACAAATTCTTCACCGCAAGGCAGGCTGTCTACGGCCCCACAGTCAAAAGAACTGCTCCCCATGTCATCGCTGACAAAACTACCCTACTTACTCTGAAGACATATGTGCTGAAGAGCTGTACTGCGTCCTTCCATCGCGTACTCGACCATCCCTCCACAATCTCCGATGTCACCATCGATTAAATGCCTCGGGTGGAAAGCAGTGCCGACCTCAACCTCCCACTCACCCCTCAGAAAACAATCAAGGCTGTGCATCAACTCTCTAGCGGGAAAGCACTCAGATCCGATGCGATCTCTGTCGAGATTTACACTTACGGTAGCCACCAAATTATGGCCCACCTAACCCCGCTCTTCCGGGAGATGCGGCTACAAGGTCAAGTCTCCCCAGGACTTAATCGACGCCACAACTGCTTCCCTCTACGGGTGAAAGGAGAACCGCAAACTCCGTGACAATCACCGTGGAAGTTCGCTGCTCAATATCGCCGAAAAATCTTCGCTCGTGTTCCCCTAAACTGTCTTCACAACTTTTGGGAACAAGGGTTCTCGCAAGAAAGACAGAGTGGTTTCCTTCGTCATGGCGGCACCACCGCCAAGATCTTAGCCGCGGGGCAGCTGCAGGATAGGTAGCAGGAGATGCGCACCCACCTCTAAAATATCTTTGTGGACCTGACGAAGGCATTTGATACGGTAACGGACCATGGAAATTCATGAGGAAAATCGGCTGCCTCGAGCACTTCATCCACATGGTTTGTCAGTTCTAGGATGGGATGATGGCGCGCGTCACGGACAACGAGACGGTTTCCGAAGCCTTCGCAGTGACGAATGGAGTGAAGCGGGGTTACGTCCTCGCGCCTACACTTTTTTATTTCATGCTCTCTGTCATGCTGATGGATGTCTGCCGGGACGAGCGCCCCTGGGTCCTTATAAACTAGAGAATGGGCGGACACCTCCTCAACATCCAAAGTATGCAGGTTCCAGCGCGCATTTCCACGATCACAGGCAACGACCTGCTTTTCGCGGACTACTTCGCAGAAGTAGACATGCAAATGATTTCGGAGCTTTCACTGCAAGTTACGCAATGTTCGGGATAATCATCAACTTGGAAAAAAATCGTGGTCATGCGACAACCGCGCCCGGTGTTGATTACAATGCCCCACAGATCAGTACCAACGGCACCGAGAATAAAATTGTGGGCAATTTTGTCTATCTTGTCAGCAGGTTATCTTGCTGCGTTAG